CGGGGCCCGGGGGTGGCGGGCGCGGGTGAGCCCGCTGACGCTTCGGTTCGCGTCTCCTGGCCCCTCTGCGAAGCGGGTCCATACTTCAGAGACGCCTCCCAGGCCCTCTGCTCACCAGAAACGTTTCCCACAAGCGTGGTACCCTCTCCCGGGTCTAACTTTCCGAGGACTCGACTAGATGGGGTGTGTTCCCCAGCACAGAGAAATGGACAGACGTGTCCGAGGTAGTCGAAAGGCGTGTGTCCGTGGGCGCGCACGGTGACCCGGGTCTCTGGAGGACTTCCCCAGCGCCCGATCTGTCAGAGGGCCCCAGCTCTGTGCGCACCGGGTTCGGGAATGGCCTTGGCGGTGAACCTGTGTGCCACGGCGACTACTCTGGTGCTGGAGGACTTCGACGCCAAGTTCCTCAGCCTTGTTGGGCTGCGAAGATTGCATGCCACTGAGGAACACTGAGGTTCTTTTGACTTGTTTTCATTCTTATCACTTCAAGGGCTAAGCTGTTTAAAATCCAACAGAAACAGTTGACCCAGTGGAACACTGGATTCTTGGAAAAATAAACCTGTTACTGTTTCTGTTTTAAAAGCTTATCTTTTAGGTATGTGGTGTTTTGGATTATAAATTGTAGTGGGATTGTGAAGGTCTTGTCAGTAGTGGAAAAACTTAAATGTATTTGAAATAGGAAACCAACTGAAATAAATTTGAATATATTTTAAGGGATTTGGTTTAGCAGAAAAAAAAAACACAAAACACCAAAACAAGCAGGAAGCAGTGCTTGTGGTTCAGTGTGATAGAGCACTAGCCTTGAGCTAAAAGCTCAGGGACAACACTTAGGCCCCAAGTTCAAAACCCATGACCACCAAAAAACCAGAAGCATTTTAAGCTGGGTTGTTTAGGACAAAAAGTGTCTTAAAACTGAAGAATGCTGTTGTATTAAGTGCTCTAAACCTGTCTGCCTTTAGCTTAAAATAATCTACTTGTTTGCTTGAAGATTCAGTAACCATTTGATACTTTTTAGAAGTTAAATTTGACTTTTGCAGAAGCACTAGGTTTATTTTTGAGTTAGAAAATATAATTAGTAACTTCAAATTACTATTTCAAGAAGTGTATTAGTAAATGTATGGTCCTACACTTACATTTCAGATAAAACAGTAGCTTATCTAAAAATAGAAACTAATGTTACAGAGGCACTACTTTTGTTTGTGTGTTAGGAACATACTAGATCATACATAATAATCCTGATCTTGGGCGGAGTTTGCTAGCCATACAGCGTGCTTGAAGGTTGACTTGCCTAAGACTATTTTAAATATTGTCTTTGAAAGGCAGTGAACTAATGTGACAGTGAGGAGGGAGGCTTATGAAACCACAGAATCAAGCTTTGACTTTCAGTTGGGGAGGTTGTGGACGTCATTTTTTTCAAAATAAGAATTAGCTGGAAACTTGCTCACCTTGACTAAATTAGTTGAAATTTGGTTCTTTTAAAAAAAAGTTGTATAGATCTCTGTTTTTGGCATGCATGTGTATTATAATTCCTCATTTAACTGTGTGTGATACTAGATACTAGTGTGATATTAGGTAATTTGTTTCCATGATTCAGTTGATTCTTTTGGTATAGAGCTAAACTATCTTGTCTGTAATCTTCATAGTAGTAATGGCTGGGTACTGTATTCTGACCCCAGGAGTTGATTACATGTTAAAGTTTTCACCTTTAATTTTTAGCATTTGAACCATTTTGTTATATTCTTTTTTTTCTAGAATTACGTGTATAGCTTTCTGTGTATTTTTTTTTTCCTGTCCTAGTCCTGGGGTTTGAGTTCAGGGCCTGGGTGCTGTCCCTGAGCCTTTGTGCCCAAGGCTAGTTTTCTATACTTGAGCCACAGCCTCATTTATAGTGGCTTTTTTAGTGTTTAATTGGAGATGAGAGTCTCAACAGACTTTCCTGCCTGGCCTGGCTTTGAACTATGATCCTCAGATCTTAGCTTCCTGAGTAGCTAGTATTGCAGACATGAATCCCCAGTGCCCAGCTAGCTTTCAGTAATTTCATTATAAAAACAGATGTGAGACAGCAGTGAGGGAGTCTGAACTCTGGGCCTCAAGCTTGGTTCTGTTACTTGAGCCACATGCCCAGCTCTTTCTCCTTTTAGCTTCAGGTAGAGCCTGGAGCTTTTACCGGGGCAGGCTTGGAACTACGATCCTCCTACATGTACTTCCTGAGTAGCTGGGATTATAGGCATGGGCTACTATAACCTAGCGTGGTTTTGTTTTTTAATTTTAATTTTTTAGGTTGGATCTTGATGACTTTTGCCCAGGCTGGCCTTGAACTGAGATCCTCCTATCCCTCCTAGGTAACTGGAATATGGACAGGTGTCACCACAAGAAGCTACTCTTAATGAGTTCATGATTTTAGTTAACTTCAGATCTGTTTGCCTTCTAAAATTACTTGCAGAATTTCTCATTTAAGGAAAATGTCAAGAGGGTGTTGTTTTTTTTGTTGTTGATTTTGGCTTGGGCTATCTGAAGTTTCATTGGCAAGTTACTTACAAAATGTGTTAATTGGCATCACATTCCAATCAGTATACATAGTATTTTTGAAGAACACTTGACACATAATTTTATTTTTAGATCAGATTCTGAAGGGTTTTACTGTGTGGGAACAAACAATCCTGAAGGTATTTTAGGATGTTTAAATCTTTAGGATTTAGAAATTGTTTACATTTTTATATACAGCAGCAGTGAAGCAGCAGGCAGTGGCAGTCAATGTTTTAATGGAACCTGACATGTCTAATTGCTTCTGAGGATGTATGTATGTACTGTGCAGGGGTCTTCTTTCTTTCTTTCTTTTCTTTTCTTTTTTTTTTGGTCAGTCGTGGGGCCTGAACTCTGGGCCTGGGCGCTGTCCCTCAGCTCTTCA